TGCGTGATCATACTGGGGATTTTCGAATACGCAAAATGTTGGAAGGTTGGGCACGGGAGGCTGGCGTACGAGTAGACCATAGACAGCCCATTTCTCCTAAAATCTTGCGTGGCCTGCAAGCTAGGTGGACGGAGGTATGCTCTTCTGAATTCGAGGCATCCCTATTTCATGCTGCGGCCTTAGTGGCCTTCTTTGGGGCATTCCGGGTTAGTGAACTGGTTGCCCAATCAAAACGGGATGCATCCGGCCGAGCCCTTCAGGTTCATGACGTGGAGCTAGGAGCTCTTAGGGCAAAAATTGTATTGAGAAGTTCGAAAACTGACCAGCGCAAGCATGGTGCTGTGGTGGAACTAGGTGCGTGCGGAGAGAAGCAGTTATGCCCAGTTTCAGCTTTAGCCTCATATTTAGCAGTCAGGGGCGTGCGTGAGGGTTTGCTCTTCCAGCACCAGGATGGCTCTCCCTTAACGAGGCACCAATTTTGGGCCGTGACTTCTAGAGCATTAGCAGGTTTAGGGCTCGCTGGGGTGCGTTTTGGGACACATTCTTTTCGAATTGGCGCAGCTTCTACCGCAGCAGCCATGGGTTACCCAGATAGGGATATTAAGAGGCTGGGTAGGTGGCGTTCTGGGGTCTTCCGAGCCTATGTGCGCCCTTTGTCCGAACACTAAACGCGGACAGAGTAGACAATGTTGGGTGTTATTTGCCCTTGGTTAACTGTGTTTTTGCGTTCCAGGTTTGTCTGCCCGGCAGGAGAAGAAGACAATCCTAATCTGCGGGCATAGTTTTGTTTTTTGGGCGGCACGCCGGGCCAGAAGGACGCCGATCGGGTCACAGCTTGGGCTGAGTCGGTGGGCCACGGTTGAGTGGCAAGGTCGTCGGGGCTTGCAGTGGCCGGGCCTGTTGCACCTGTTGTTTCAGGAAATGGTTGGCCCGCCGCCACAGATTTTGGTTTTACACTTAGGAGGGAATGATTTAGGTTTAGTTAAAGGGAAAGCCTTAATAATTCAGGCTAGGGATGATTTTCAAGCAATCAGGACGCAATGGCCGGAGACCCTTTTAATTTGGTCGGCCATTGTACCACGTAGAGTCTGGCGTGGGGCGGTAAGTCCTTTGGCGATCGACAAGGCTCGCAGAAAGGCTAACAGGGAATTACAAAGGATGCTGGAAGGTGGTTTGGGCCTTTTTCTTCCGCACCCAAATATTCACCCGGGGCGGACGGAGTTGTATAGGCAAGATGGTGTACATTTGTCCGAAATGGGCATGGACATATTTTTGGACGACTTGCGGCAAGGGATATGGTCGGCTTTGGGCCTCCCGATGGGCGCAAAGGCCTAAGCTGAGGCTTGGCCTTGGCGATGGCGGGATTCTAGGCGGTATACTAATCGGTGAGCACCAGCTGACACCCATTCTTTTGGGTTGAAGGGGTCTTGTCAGTACAGCCTTTGTGCCTCGCGGCACGGGGCGTGGAAAACAGACTGCCTTTTAGACCACCCCGTTCGGGTCCTCCCTTTGAGCCTAGCGGCTCGGGGGTTGGGCTACGGGGTCGTCGTGCAATGGCTAACCGGCTGGGCGGGAGCCATCACTGATGGCTCCGGCCTGGGGTAGGGTGGCTCGCCCTAGGTTAAAGTTGGGGAAGGGTCTTCGACCTCTGGCCTTAACTATACCGCCGAATTGTTTATCCCTTGCCGTTGTTTCCAGTTAAGTAAAAGTTAATAAAGTGGCCCAATAGTTAACTCCAGCACACGTGTCCGACTCTTTATTTCATCTTGGGCGGCAAAAACCTGTTTAATCGGCATAACATAGATAGATCAAACAAAGGAAAAAGTTAAAGGGTGGGTACAAGAAACAAAATCAACCAATATTCCCAATATCTCAAAATACAAGGCAATCCTAGCATGGTTTACAAGATTTACAGAATATTACTCTTGACTTCCATACACGGGTCAGAAATTCTGCAACAGATAGCGTTATTGCTGGGCTCTTGTATGCTAGAAAGAAATTTAAATCCCTATCCAGAAAGTCTCTCTGCGAAGGGAGAGGAGGGCGAATCAAAATATTACGCATAACGGAATATTTAGGACAACGAAAAAGAATATGGGTAACAGAATCAGGTTCCCCAAGATTACAGTTGCAAATTCTATCCTTATACGGAACACCCCTGTATCTACCTGAGACCACTACTGAAGGGAAAAGGTTGAACCTTGCAAACATAAAGACCCTCCTAAAAACTGGGATTGTCAAATTGGCAATATACGGTACCATGGATGTATGTGAGGGAAAAAGGGGTAATGAGTAGGGAGAGCAAACCCCAAGACTGCCGGCATTAATGATCTGCGCCTCTATATCCCCAATTCTCCTCCTGACCACCTGCAAGATTGCTACCTCACCACAGTTATAAAGGGGTTCCAGGTTAATACCTAGGGTACCCACCTTTTTCACTATGGCCTGTGACCACTCTGATGTATAGGGGTCAGTTAAAAGTTGAACCATTAGGCTAGCAGGGGGAGATCGAAAGTAAAGCCGAAGTCAATATTTGATCGTAATGATCCAAGCCCGAGATTCTACCAAGTGAAGACCCAGCTCCTTGTAAAGAGCAAAGAGCGACAGTATTAATAGTAGAGAATAGGTTAAGAACTGCTGCAACTTTTCCTGTATGACATTTTAGGTCTGTTAAGATGATGGTGCATGTTTTCCAGAAACTTCACGGTACAAGGATGACGTCAACCATCAGCTTCAATGACAGCGCCGTGAATCACCAGACCTTCCTCCTCGTTGGCATTCCCGGCATGCAGGAGCGCAACTCTTGGATGGCCTTCCCTCTCAGCCTGCTCTACCTCCTGACTCTCTTTGGAAACTTCACTATCCTCTTTGTCATCAAGACCGAGGAAAGCCTCCACGAGCCCATGTACCTCTTCCTCTCCATCCTCGCCTGCTCAGATCTGGGCCTCACTGTGTCCACCATGCCAACAATGCTGGGCGTTTACTGGTTTGACGCCAGGGAAATTTCATTCACTGCCTGCCTCACCCAGATGTGCTTCATCCACCTGTTTCAGTGGACAGAGTCTGCAATCCTCGTGGCAATGGCTGTCGACCGCTTCATTGCCATACGCAACCCCCTGAGATACACCTCACTTCTCCCAAATACAGTAATTGTAAAAATAGGAATCGCTATCTTATGCAGAGCCTGCTGCCTCCTCTTCCCGATCCCTTTCCTGATTAAACGCCTGCCCTTCTGCAGGTCCAATGTCCTCTCTCACTCCTACTGTCTCCACCCGGATGTGATGCATTTGGCCTGCGCAGACATAACAGTCAATATACTGTATGGGTTGGTTATAGTCGTTAGCACACTGGGGTTGGATGTTGTGGTCATTCTTGTCTCATACATCCTCATTCTGCAGACCGTTTTGAGCATTGCTTCCCACACAGGGCGTCTGAAGGCCCTGAACACCTGCGTCTCCCATGTGTGTGCCATCCTGATTTTCTATATCCCAATGATAGGTGTCACAGTGGTCCACCGCTTTGGAAGACACCTCTCTCCCATTGTCCACATGATGATGGCCAATGTCTACATCGCCGTCCCACCACTTCTTAATCCCATTGTGTACAGTGTGAAGACCAAGCAGATCCGGCAGAGGATTTGGAAAATGTTCCAGTAAGAAAAATTGGGATTTAATTCTCCACGAGAAAGGTCTGACAGTGGGATAAACAGGTTTCAGTGAAATCAAACTTTAAGGAGCAACAAGACAAACGAAGTGAAATATTTCAATCAGTCTCAATACTAATGAATTTTAAAATATATTGTAGAGAAAAAGAACGGCTGATTAGGCAGTTGGTTCCCTTCCTCAAACGCAATAACCTGGCAACAGTGATTCACGCTATGGTCACCTCGAGATTAGACTACTGCAATGCTCTCTGCATGAGGCTGCCCTTGGCCCAGCTCCGGAAGCTGCAGCTGGTGCAAAATGCAGCAGCCAGGCTGTTGATGGGCCTCTCTATACGAGACCACATCCAGCCTGTGCTGAAGGCATTGCACTGGCTTCCGATAGCTTACCGGATCCGTTTCAAGGTGCTGGTTTTGACTTTTAAAGCCCTATATGGTCAGGGACTTGCCTACTTGAGGGACCGCCTTTCCCCATATGTGCCCCAAAGAGCACTGAGGTCAGGAACACAGCATCACCTGACTCTTCCTGGCCCAAGATATGTCAAGCTGGCTGCTACTAGAGCCAGGGCCTTTTCAGTGGCGGCTCCATACTGGTGGAATGAGCTCCTGGAGGAGATCAGGGCCCTGCAGGATCTTTAACAGTTCCACAGAGCCTGCAAGGTGGAGCTCTTCCACCAAGCATTCAATTAGGAGCTGCCACCCCACTACCACCAACATCGGTGGCTATGGATCGGCCCTGGCCTGGAGAATGCTACTAGAGCCAGGGCCTTTTCAGTGGCGGCTCCATACTGGTGGAATGAGCTCCTGGAGGAGATCAGGGCCCTGCAGGATCTTTAACAGTTCCACAGAGCCTGCAAGGTGGAGCTCTTCCACCAAGCATTCAATTAGGAGCTGCCACCCACTACCACCAACATCGGTGGCTATGGATCGGCCCTGGCCTGGAGAATGCACCGCACTACCATGCAATGCCAAAGATCATGGAATTAGAAACATTGGTTGTATGTTATACAATTTGCCATTTGAACTACTGATAGACGATCATCAGCACTAGCACTTTGTGTATTGGATTGTTTAAAATGTTTTGGAATGTTTTAATCTTTGTATGGTTTTATGGTACTGGGTACCAATTCTGTAAGCCTCCCTGAGCCCACTTGTGGGGAGGGCGGGGTATAAATAGAATAAAATTTGAAAAATAATAATAATCTTTGATGTTATAAATTGGAATATCTTCTGGTTTAGTGCTTTGAATTGCTAGAGACGCAGAAACATTGCATTGCCCTCATATTATTTGCAAAGTCATCCTCAGTCTCTTTTCAGCAATAATGATTAATGACTAAATTATACTTTCAGCTAAATGGACCTTGCTTGTTATGAGGCAACATGAACCCCTGTTGCCAGGCTATCATGACCCCCTGTGGGTTGCCACCTTCAGCTGCCACCACTCTGGACTTAGGGTCCCTTGGGAAGGTGAAAAGTATGCAGGCGGAGAGTGATTGCAGCTAAGCATACCTTTATTTAGTCAGGAACAAAAGACAAAGGACCAGCTCGCAGGCTGGTTTATATCTGTTCAGAAAACCCGCCACCAAAACCCTAAACACACCCCCTACTCCCGATAGGCTATTTACAGTAACCGGGCAACCATTGGTCTCCCGGCTGGGAAACTAGCCCCGTTGATTGGGCCAGCTAGGATCCTTCGGATCCTTTGTCTAGAGACTGAAGCTACAGAGTAAATGTGCCTGGCCAGCCCGGGCAAGTACGGGCATGTCAGGCTGAATACATTACAGAAGGCCCAGAGTACCCTCCCAAGACCAACCAAAATGCCCCTTTTAAGCCGAGAAACATAGGCGTGATGACCAGGCAGAGAACATTAAACAAATGGCTTATTAATACAGTAATGGGGCAAGGAAAACAAGACCAAGGTGCTTTAAAATATATAACAGTGTTTAAAGGCAAAATAAACAACTCTAACACGGCTACCTATTTCTCTTAACTGGTTACTATTCAAGGCTCACAGCCTTTTATACCAGGCCTGTGCCTGTAACCGCTCTGTCCTAAGATCAGGGATGGAAGAAAGCAAAGAAAGCATGGCAGCTAGCTGACACAGAGGTCCATCAGTGGCTATTAGCCACAAGGTATTAACAGGTGGAATTCACTGCCACAGGAGGTGGCTGCAGCTACAAGCATGGACGGCTTCCAGAGGTAATTAGATAAGCATATGGAGCAGAGGTCCATCAGTGGCTATTAGCCACAAGGGATAGATAGGGACTCTGGGGCAAGTGATGCTCTGTCATCTTGGTGCTTGGGGGGGGCAAGAGTGGGAGGGCTCCTAGTGTCCTGGCCCCACTGTTGGACCTCCTGATGGCACCTGGTGTTTCTGGCCCCTGTGTGACAGAGTGTTGGACTGGATGGGCCTTTGGCCTGACCCAGCATTGGCTTCTCTTATGTTCTTATATGGAACAGAGGTCCATCAGGGGCTCTTAGCCACAAGGGATAGATAGGGACTCTCAGTCTGGGTCAAGTGATGCTCTGTATCCTTGGTGCTTGGGGGGGGCAACAGTGGGAGGGCTTCTAGTTTCCTGGCCCCACTGCTGGACCTCCTGAGGGTCCCTGGTATTTTTGGCCACTGTGTGACATTGAGGAATTTCACATTACCCTTTTTAACCTGTTTTGAAGCTGTTTTTGATCCATCGTAGAGTAAACTGGTATAGGTCTGCCATTTCACACATGGCTTTCCCCTTCTGGTAAAGAGCTGGATCTGAAGCGGTTTGCCATTTCAGACTGTACCGCTTTTTCCCCGCCGTTTTTCACCCGCACGGACGATCTCTGGCTTTTTTTTTTTAATGTTCGCTTTATAGCGCTATAGTGCTACAACACTCCAAGCATTCCAATGGGCTTGATATATTGTTGTGTTATACCGTTATAGCGCTATAGTGCTATAAAGCGAACGTTTCAAAAAAAACCCAAAGTGTTTTCTGGGGAAATGACAGGGGCCGCTTCAGGAGGTTCAGGAGTGCATGGAATGGACCCTGTGCAAGATAGAGATATTAAAATCGCAGGGGACCTCCCCCTGATGCTCCTCTACATGTCCACCAAGTTATGTGCAGATTGGACCTAGGGGGTCTAAGTTATGGCCTCCCAAAGAAGATGCCCCTAGCAAAGTCCTTTTGGGGAAAATGCAGGTGCAAGTTCAACATTGCAAGCTACATACACCAAACACACAGGGAACCTGTTGCTTTGAAGTTTAGCAAACATTTTGATTGAGCAGAGACTATCTGGAAATGTATCCATCCACGAACTGCCACGAACCACCATGAACAGCTTGAAAGTCCATGCAAAGTTTTTCCTGCCATGAACTTTCCTGTCGCGAACTTCAGCTCACGAATCCCAAACCGGCCAAAATTTGTTGTGTACTTTAGTTCATGAGCCAGTTCACGCCCATCCCTAGTGGTATCAGGGCAACTGCAGGCATTTCTGCCTTTGACTGGTTTCTATATCTGGCTTCAGACCTGGCTTTGAGACTGAAAAGGCCTTATTAGCTATGTTGGGCAATACTGAGTTAAACTTGGATAAGGGCAATATATCTTTGTTAACCTCTGACTTGTCAGAATTTTTGGAGTTGGCTGTCATCAATAGGCTGATGATACCCAGCTCTGCCTTTAGGGCTGCCCAGCCCCCAGCTGACTGTCACTTCAATGTCACTTCTGGAGAAAACCTAAAAGTGACATCAGTCCTGTCTAGGAATCACCAAAAACTCTATGGTTTACCATAGAGTTCCCAACAATTTTTAGAAAGGTGTGACTTTACCTCTGGGTTTCCTCCAAAAATGATGTCTCGGTGTTGCCGATCTCAGCCCCTCCTCCATGTCTCCTGCTGGTTGGCTGACCATGACCGGTTAATCTATTTGCATTTGTTTGGTGTCGTGGTTAAGTGCACGGACTCTAATCTGGGAGAACCAGGTTTGATTTCCCACTCCTCCACTTGCGCCTGACTGGATGACCTCGGGCAAGCCCTAGTTCTGATAAGAGCTGTTCTTGAAATAGAGCAGTTTCTGTTAGAGCTCTCTCAGCCCCACCTACCTCACAGGGTGTCTGTTGTGGGGAGGGGGAGGGAAAGGAGTTTGTAAGCCGCTCTGAGACTCAGAGTGAAGGTCAGGGTATAAATCCAATCTCTTCTTCTCTTCTTCTCTTGTTTAACCCTCCAGAAAAAGCTGTGGCTATCCTTGGCTAATGTCTTTAAAAGGAGAAGAAGAGTTGGTTTTTATACCCTTCTTTTCTCTACTCTAAGGAGTCTCAAAGCAGCTGACAATTGCCTTCCCTTCCTCTCCCTACAACAGGTGCTTAGTGAGGTGGGTGGGGCTGATTCTGTGAACTGAGGCAGATCATGAGAGGGAGGGCAGGAAGGGTTGCTTCAGTGCTTAGTTCTTGCGGCCCTTTCTTACACACACAGGAAAATGCTGATCACCACTTTGGGGCCAGGAAGCAATTTTTCTCCAGACCAGTTTGGCTGGAAATCCTGGAGGTGTTTTTTTTATTATTTTTTATTTATTTGTTTAATTCAATTTATACCCCGCCCTCCCTGCAATGCGGGCTCAGGGCGGCTTACATAGGGGCCATCTTCTGGGCATGGAACAGGGGTCACTGGGGTGTAGAGGGGAAGGTATCTGTGAATTCCCTGCATTGTGCAGGGGCTTGATGACCCTGGAGGTCCATTCCAACTCTATGATTCAATGAGAGAGTTCTGAGAGAACTGTGACTGGCCCAAGGTCACCCAGCAGGCTTCATGTAGAGAGGTGGGGAATCCAACCTGGTTCTCCAGATTAGACTCTGCCACTCTTAACCACGACACCACACTGGCTCTTCAGGTCACCATCAAGGGGTGAGGGTGAGGGTGAACACATGGAAACTGAATCCAGGCATAATGCTATCTTAAATGTTAGAAACCATGACTGGGATTGATAGGTAGTCTGGAATAAATGTTTGGGAATCACAGCTCCTA